ACCGGAACCCTTGTTGGAATTGGGGGTGATCTCTGATAAGCCTATTAGTATGTGTATAGATTCTTTTATTGTTTTAAATATGTTTTTCCTGTAATACTTTCACCATAAGAATAAATGTACTTGCTTAGAAAGAGCTGTATAGTAACTTACAAACAGTGTAATTGCCCACTGTTATAGCCTCTGGGAAGAGAGAGAGAGAGAGAGAAGCACAGATGCTGGCCTGTTTAGGCACTCTGGCTTGCTGGAAATAACACAATGTAGGCAGGGAACTGTGCAGGCTGAAAAATCCCAGTTAGGAGAGAGAGAGGTGAGTGTCTCTGCCCAAGAGAAGTGACCGCTGAGAAGCCAGGAGCATAGCGTGGGTGCCCTTCCTGGATCATGAGGGGAAATATAGGTGCACTTGCCCTGAACTGTGACATCAAATAGAAAATATTTAGCAGAATCTTGCAGAATGACTGTAAATTGTTACCCTAGGACCTATAGCGTCAGTGAAGACTTCTGTCAAAAATATATATGGATCTTTTCAAGTCAGAATCACTCTCTGTAAAAGTATCATCTTCCATGATTTTTCTTGACAGCAACAGAGAAAAAAACAGACATAGTTCATTTGAAGGGGACCAAGCTTACAACCAATGAAATCAGAGAAAATGTTGCCATTAATATCAATGGGAGCAGGATGGGACCCAAAATGGCTGTGTCCATGTGAGACTGATGTGCTTACTGCTTCTTATCTTCACTTATGAAGACTGGAAAACTGAGTTTGTTATGAGAATAAACTCATTATTTTCTATTTGTAAATCTTTCAGGCAGTGCATATGTTCACATGCATACTTCACATTTTATACTGTCCCTTTTATATGATTTTCAATGCTCTTAAATGTCATCTTTTTAATTATAAAAACTATTGCTACATGGAAATGTTCTTAGCAAAAGCTAATAAAACAAAATGATCATACAGAAATAGAGGAGACTAAAGATAACAATGAAATATGATAGGTATATAATTTAAGGACAAACTAAGTGTATATTGATGAGAATGAGGCAAATCTAAACTTTAAAGCAGCAGAATTTGTTTGCAAAGTTTGACTTAAAAGATACTATAACTGGTTTGAAAAGAGGCCATTTCAAGGTTTAGTTTATTGCACTGTTGCACTGTAGTTAGAACTACTGAATGATTTTGTGCTGTTGTTTGCTGAGATGACTAAGTTGTCATTTTTAATTAGCTTTGTGCTCTTCTCAAAGGCTAATTACTTTACTTTTTATCAAGATTACTTGATTGCTAATGACAAGGGTGCCATGGTTACCTATTTTTAGAGAATTCCCCAACCTGCACAATTATATGATTTTCAGTTCCCTCTGGATTCTTTGTGCAGTAAAGCCTGCAGTGAAAATAATGGTTAAGAAAAATACATATTTGCTAATGATATCAGCAAAAGAAAGTGTCTCTTGTTTTTTGGCAGCAAGGCCATTGCTAACATATTTAGTCAATGTAAACAAACATTTCATTTGGTCTATCTCTCTCTCACTGATACCAGTGCTCCCCTATTAACTTGAATGGAGTTGTACCAGGAGAATTGAATTTGAGAACAGAGGCTGTATTCTGTCATCTTTTTTTTCTACTTGTGCATCTTTCCTTTTCATCATAGATCTTCTAAAATTCTAGACATGTGAATGGTCTGAACTGCATTCTTATTCCAAGCCATACAAATTACACAATCATATACTGGCATTCAGATAGAGTTCACCTTATTGTGCATCAATATTGTCTAGAAGAGCACTTGAAACAAGTATCTGAATGGGGCACTTCCAGGTGAAATCTTTCCCCTCTTTAACCACTGGTAGATGAGTATAATCTATTCTTGTTTCAGGCATCAGCCGCTCTAAAGGTGTTGCTGTTGTGAATGTTACCTCAGTCAGGGAGATAGTGATGGGGGAAAAATACTTCTTGTGCTTTTGACATTTTTAATAAATACAGTTATACACACAGAATCTCCATTTTATTTCTGTTGTGCTACACATAAATACACGTCAGATGTGTGGTAAACCAGAATGCTCCCAGGGGCTTGTCCTGAAAGAGGAAAGACACAATGATTTAGAGTCTGCATCTGCAACTCTTGCAGCTTCTTCAGTTTCTACTGTTGGAGGAGAATTTGTTGCATCAACATCCTCTTGACAGTCCCGATGCAGAAGTATAGGGGTATAGTTTAGTGGTATGGCTATCCTATAGGAAAGTAAAATAAAGCCACTCTTCAGTTGTAAGACATATAATTGCTTCTGCCACCAGCTGCCTCTCCTTATTTTAGATATCTTGCTCCTGACCACTCAACTCTCAATTTTCCTCAGTAGATAGGAGAGAATTCAAGACTAGATTCATTAATCCCCTAAAAAGGGATAGCATCAAGATGGTGGAATATATCCATGTTTTATGAAGTGTGTCCCGAGCTTCAGAGACTTCCCAGTTGAAATCCCAGACGAGCTCCTACTTGTAACAGTGACAGACCCCGGTCACCAGGATCAAACCTGGGACCTCTAGCGCTTAGTGCATGAGCCTCTACTGCATGAGCTAAAAGCCAGTGGCCTCTTAGCTAAGGCTGTAGAGATGTCTCAATATCTCCAAGTGGTCTTGGTGCCACTAGATGGAACAGAACACCATACCGAGGAGGTGTGTGGGTTACACTGGCTTCAGTGACTAAAATGAATTTTTCCTACTTTTTACTTCTGCTAACACAGCAGGGCTCGCAGAGAGGGTATGTGCTCTAGTGGTTAGGGTACCATCCTGGTACTCTGGAGACTGGGGTTTAATTCCTTGATTTTTCCCTCCCACATACACAGATTTCCTGTGTGACCTTGGGCAAGTCATTTAGTCTCTCTGTGCTTCTGTTCCCCCACTGTAGAAAGGAAAGAATAGTTCTTTCTTACCTCACAGAGGTTTAAAATTTTGAGACACTCTGATTCTACAACAGTAGAACAATACAAGTGCTTAAGAGAGTGAGCTATTTGTGTTTGTGAATCATCAGATTTATTACGTTCCAGTTCAAGGTGCAATCAGCTACATCTTTGCAAAGTCATTGAAGGCAAAGAGATTGCATACCATAGTTATAACCAAGCTCATAGTTTGTCTTCTAGAATTTTTATTACTAGTGATGATCCGTGAAAATGAGAGAACCCAGCTTGATTTTCAGAAAACAGACTGGATACATTTTCCCTTGTAAATTGAGCCTTTCCAACTCTCAGCATCTCAGCTTTCTGTGTGGAACTTATAGCCAGTATAAATGAATGATTCCACATTCCCTCATGGGGAAAAAATCTGGTTATAAGGGAAGGGGTTTGAAGTGAAAGGTGTTCAGAACTGAGAGACAGTCTCAAAGGCAGGGGGCTGTCTGTGAATGCTGGATCTCCTTTAGGGGTAGGAGGCATGATGGGAAATTGTTCAGAAGTAATAGGTAACTTGTATTAGAAAAGGGAATTTATCTAATAGAGCAGTGTAAAGCCTGAAGTTGCATCTTTATTTATTTTCTGTGTAACCTGTATGTGTTTGCTTGTCCTTATTATTTCATCTTCAAATATGTGACTTTTCTTTTAAACAAACTTTTTGCTTATTTGTCCTCCAAGCAGATGTGCAAACTGTGTAGAGTGAACTGATAACTGGGTCCTGTTGTCACACCATCAGGGTTGATGAACTAGAGGGGAAAAGTCCAAGCAACTAGTACTTAAGAACTCCAGGAGAACAGGTTTGGGGAGACTCAGGACTGAAAGATCTGTTGGTGTCACACCACAAGAAGTAATTAGGCTGATGGAAGCCAGGGTGAGACCTTTATGTTTGTGGGCTGGCTACTGGTGTATGGGCTCAGAGCCATAACAGCATAGCATTAAGGCATCCAAAGTTACAAGGCAGGTGGTGACAGAACCCCATACTGCTCTGGGTGATCCCTGAAATGTCACAGTGGCTTAGTCATTGCAGGAGCTGCACCTCGATATCGTGAACTGAGGTTCACTCTCCAAACATTTGCAAAACAGGCCTTGCTGGATTCAAAAGAGAGGGTGCAACGTACAAGCGGTGACAATAAGCATCCCTGCATGCTACTATAATAATCTTTTGTACAAAATATGCCTCATGAGGTATTATTTGAAAATAAATAACTCACTGATCATTAATATTCTTTGTGATGCATAAGAGTAGTGAGTATTAAGAGCTATGGACATATGCTCGAATGATAACTAAAATGTGTTCAAGCCAGGCATGTTGAGGGAATTGGTAAACAGGCCTGCATAGACAAAGAAATGTGTTTGAATTTCTGACCAGCCCAATCTTCAGGCATAGACAATGAAGGACCATTTTTATATTCGAGGCAAACAAAACTATTAAGCTAACAAGTCGGGGAAGAAAGCACAGAGTTTCCTTCATCACCAGATTTCATGTTGCCTTCCTCACAGCTTGAATAAACTTTATTTTGAGAAGAATCTGTTTCAAAGGTGTACTGGTCTATAAAGACAGGGGATCTGAACCGCAAGGGATAAGCAATTGAATCAACTGATTGTGTTCAATATTACTGTATTATAAGAGTGTGCATAGTGAGGTTCTTTTCTGAAAGCTAATGACACACTGGTGATTAATATCCTTGTGAAATGTATGTATTAACAATATATATGGAATTATGGATACTCATTGTTATGCATCTGAAGAAGTGGGCTGTAGCCCACAAAAGCTTATGCTCTAATAAATTTGTTAGTCTCTAAGGTGCCACAAGTACTCCTGTTCTTTTTTCATTGATATTAGGCTGTAGAGTACAGTCTGCCCAGACAGGAGGGAATGTCACAGCTATCTACCTGTCTCCTAAGTAAATTAAGAAGGGTGGAATCAGAAACAATGGAAGCCCCATTGACACAGAAATCATACCGGGGGATGGGAAGCCTACAGGAAGGAAACAACAGCATGAGGTCATCCTACTCTTGAAACAAGTTCATTGAACTTTGGGAGATATAAGCAAGGACAGAAGCCATCTTTGGCATCCATCACTAGACAGGCAGAAAAGGGAACTGAGCTTTTGTGAGCTGAGAAAATGGGTCCTTCACTCCAGGGGAGACTGAAGTCTCTGGAAACTGAATATAGGTGAGAAATTTGTTTATGTAAAGACTGTACTTTGTTACATTAAGTTTTAGACTTTTAGAAGCATATTTTGTTTTGTTTTACATGTACCCCTCTGTATACTTGAACTCACTTAGTCTGATGGATATTTTGTTAATACATTTATTTCATTTTTACCATAAACAAACTCAGTGCTGTGTTTAAAGGGGAGGGTGTCTTTACCCCCAGTTAAGTTAATAAGCTATGATGTGTTTTTTTACAGAGCAGTTTACCTTCTTATTTCTCTAAGCTGTCGAGAAGAGGGCTGGACACTTCAGGGCACATAGTTTTGGGGAAATTCAGAACTGGGTTAGTGTCACCTTGCTGGTTGTAACCAAGGCTAGTGGAAGCCAGAGTATGACTGGTGTGTTGCTGGCAGCCTGCTGGGGTCAGAACCACAGCTATGCACAGGCACTCAGGGTGTGACCTGCAGGCTAAAAGGCTGGGTGTGAGCAGCCCAGGTTGGGAGCTACAAAAGCAAAAGATTATGATGAACCCAAGGTTACAGGGCAGGCAGTGACACAATCCCTCACTGATCTGAATTTGCACCCCGGACCTCAAAGGGACTGTGACAGAAACTTATGGTTTATTATTTTCTGTTTGTTTCCTTTGGGTAAAGGAAATAGAACAAATGAAAACATAAGAAGAATAAAGTAGCAGAAAAGGCAAATTAAGCAAAGAAGCTCACCAAGAAGCAACTAGAAGAGCTGTATGCACAGTCAGGTCTGTCAGTTGCTGATCAGAAGAAATCTGAGCTGGTGGCCATGATGCATTCATATGCTATGAGGCAGGATGTGGCACCTGCTCTGGACCAGAGGGTAAAAGGATATGGATGCTAGTCTAGGTTTTGCTTTCTTTCTTTGTTTCTTAGCTAAAAATCTCATACAGACTCACATTTATCCAAGTGGGACACACTAAGCTTCTCCTCCCTGACACCCACACTGCTCCCTAGAGTCCTTACATAATTTTCCTTGCCTATAATTTTACCCGTGTTATCCTTCTTCCTTCCTCATTTTGAATCCCTTCACACTGACACTCCTTTCTCCAGTCAATCAACTTCAAACTTCTAGTCCCTGCACAAGTCAGCCCGAACAGCATACTGCTCATTTCTTATTGCATCAGTCCTGCCCACCCTGCTCAGCCAACAATACTGGCCTCAGCACACTTTGTCCACTTCTCCCGGGACCATCTCCATGTTTTCTCCCATGCTGCCCTTCCACGTGGAATGTGGTCCCTAAGTTCTCTCCTCCTTCAAACTTCTATTCAAGGACCATTTCTACAGCAGAGATGATATCAGAGATAGGTGATATTTATTTCATGACCAAACCATTTTACATCCAGCTTCTAAAACAACTTATTTATATAGAAGTGAAATAAGGAGCCCACCTTTACTACTCTGTGCAGGCTACCTGGACCTTGGATCCAGGTGTGCAGTATTAAGAGATGTTGTGTTCCTGTTTACTATGCACCCCAGAAAAAGAGAGGGGAGGGGCAGAGAGTGGATTTAGGTGCCTCCCAAGGCACCAGCCAATAGAGATGAGCAAGCATACTGTGGCTGGAAATGTATTGTGGGCATAGGTCAATGATAAAATCTATCTCCTTGGAGCAAGGAGGTAAAATAGAAGAGAATTTTTGTCTCTCTAACCCACAATTCCTTCCTTGCATTGTTCTATTGGCTATGACTTCTAGATACAGTGAATTTAGCATGTAGATTGTAAATTCTTTGGGGTAGGGACTTTTCTTTTACTAGTTGGACAATGTGTAGCACTTTCAGGTGCTCCCATAATACAAATAAGAAATAATAACTTTTAGAAAGTCAAATCCTACAGTCCTTATTCAGGTAAAACTCACACTGAAGCCTGTGTCTGAGTCATGCCCGCAGAGAGTAGCCTATTTTTATTTTGGGAGAAGGAAGCTTAGGCCAGTGGAACTTTACTTATGGCAAAATTAAGAAAAGGAAGAGAAGGTGAAAGAAAATAACAACAAAGAAATAGATTTCCAGGTTTGCAAAAGAGCCACTTAATATATTTTATGAATTACAGATGCAATTTTAAAATAAAATTGTTGTAAACGTAAGTAGCACACGTTAATTCACTTTACTTAGAAGCAGCTTGATAAAGAAGCAATGGATTAAAATAGAATATCTGTGAGGGCCAATGGACAGTTTTTTGTTATATACAGAAGCGTTGAAAGTGCTTGAGCATAATTTTCAGGAAACTGTATTATAAAGGCTACTATGAAGCTATCTATTTATTTACTGACCTCAAAACAGCCAAATACCTTGGGTTAAAGAGAATAAGGTTTAGGCAATTGTTATGGAATTTAGAGAATCCAGCAGACTTCATCAATTGTCCTGAGAAATGCAACAGATCTAGCAGGAAATCAGTTTTAGCCAGCATCCCAAATGTTGATTCTGAATCAAACAGTGCATAAACTATACTCACAGTTTAATTAAAAGAAAACCTGATAAATTACTAAATTTCTGGTGTTCACAAGACGGTTATCTGTTATAGGAATTATTTTTTTAATGTGCTAGCTCTCACACATGAAATGGTCTCTGGATTTATTTTATCATAAATGGAAATGATGACATACCTACTTAATCTTATTTCTTTAAAAAAATGTTTCCCCTTTCTCACCAGACAAACTAACTCAGATTCATTAAATGATGCATTAAACAGGGTGAACAAGTTTAGCAAACGCAGTGACCACTGGAAATATGTTGGAAAATTAACAATTAAAAAAATTAACCAGAAGGAAATTGCTTACTAATTTTTAAGAGACATAGGTTAATCTAAAATGACTACCAGCCCTCAAAAGGTTAACTGTCAAATTAAATAACAGGGACATACAGTGGTCACTGGCTACCTGGGGGAATAAGCTGTTAAATTACTTACTTCAATTCACATAATTTACAAAGAGATTAGCTCTTCTGTCTCTTGCTAGCTTTTGCTAAGAAGGCCTTGCATTCCATAGAAGGTTTTTTAACCTAGCAAGCATGAGGTCCTGATTGGTCATGGGAGAATCTGGGCTAAATGGTATACATTTCCGATGATGTAAAAGTAAATGAGAGAACAGGGCAAATTATTACACCAGAGGATGTGGGACTATAGGGAATAATAAAAATCAGGTTACTCTAATTTCCTTTGAACAACTAAATATATACAGGTCATTATTTCCTGTAATCCACAGGCCTCCCACTGCAGGTCTCAGCTCTGAATTAAAGCCTCTGAGACAAAAACAACAGAATACTAGAGAGCAGTGAAAGAGGCCATGATTCTATTTAAATAATAGTGTAAGTGTAGTTTATAAATTCAGCATTCCTGTTCTCATTGGAATGCTACATTTTATCATCTTAGTAAAGAAAATTGAGATTTATAAGAGCTATTTGCCAGTAGTACTGTGCAGAATTTTATCTTGTTTTGTGAAGAAGCTTTGAGGCCTGTTGCATCCGAGACCTGATTCTCCTTTACCCTCTATCTATACCAAGCATAAGACAAAGGGGCATTCAATTTATCCTGGTCAGTGACTAATGGAACTGGCATTTTTATTGTGTTTTTCTGTAGCACCAGTTTCTTCTTTCCATTGTTTGAAAATAAAATACACAGTTCTCAATGATTCACCATCTAGTCAAGAAGTGGCTGCTGTGTGTGCCAGTAGACAATCTTTGCTCCTTGAGGGCCTGTAGCCTGATCTATCGATTATGTATTAATTATATTGATTACTTAAGAATTCCCAGTTATCACTTTGAGGGTTGACAAGTCCTTGTCCCAACATCAGGCCCAGTATTATTAAAATTACTATGTAGTTGGGAATCCCGATGTGCACAGTTGCAGCACCCACAATATAGGAACTCTTCAATATTTACAAATAATTGATTAATACATTTAGCAAAGTCACAAACACTCTAACTCAGTAAGATAGATAGAGAGACTACAGAATGTATATTTGAACATCCATGTATTCACAGCATCTCTTGCAGGACAACCTGAAATGTTAGCCATTATCTTCCACATCACCATCACCTTTCTCCTCATCACAAGTAGCCATCATTCTGGCACCTCCCAAGGCCTATATCTCTCTCATCTACTGCCCATAGGCTAGGCTGCAACTTTTATAATATGTTACGCTGACACCTATATATCTAATGCATATTCTGTAGGGGGGTTTCCCCTTTTCCTTATTTGTACTTCCTTATCCTACTAATGTTGAGGTCTCCTTCTTACATAGGTTAGTGTATTGATATGTGTAACTACCATTTCAGCTCATGATCATATCTGTCATTCCTTGCTTAAGCAGATTGGCAGTTATTACTTCCATGTTCCTTGCGGTAGCACTTACTGGAACATTCTAACTCCTACAATTAAGCAAGTTCTCCTTAGTTCCTAAAAGCTAAAGCTAACCATTTCTATGCCAAGGGTTACAGCCTACACAACCACACTTCAACTAACGTCTTACAGGATATAGGATGAATCATAGAATCATAGAATATCACTGTTGGAAGGGACCTGAGGAGGTCATCTCAGAGCAGGACCAATCCCCAACTAAATCATCCCAGCCAGGGCTTTGTCAAGCCTAACCTTAAAAACCTCTAAGGAGGGAGATTCCACCACCTCCCAAGGTAACCCATTCCAGTGCTTCACCACCCTCCTAGTGAAAAAGTTTTTCCTAATATTCAATCTAAACCGCCCCCACTGCACCTTGTGACCATTGCTCCTTGTTCTGTCATCTGCTACCACTGAGAACAGTCGAGATCCATCCTCTTTGGGGCCCCCTTTCAGGTAGTTGAAAGCAGCTATCAAAGGAGCTATCCCCGCTCATTCTTCTCTTCTGCAGACTAAATAATCCCAGTTCCCTCAGCCTCTCCTCATAAATCATGTGCTCCAGCCCCCTAATCATTTTTGTTGCCCTCTGCTGGACTCTTTCCAGTTTTTCCACATCCTCCTTCTAGTGCGGGGCCCAAAACTGGACACAGTACTCCAGAG